TCAACAAACTTAAAGGATTTTGGGATGAACTCTCAACTTATCTTCCATCATCTTCTTGTTCATGTGATGCAATGAAAGATTATGCCAACTATCTTCATCAACAACAACTGATGCAATTTCTCACGGGTCTCCATGATACTTATGCATCTCTTTGCAGTCGAATCCTTCTAATGGATCCCTTTCCACAAACTAGTAAGGCATACTCTCTTGTGTTGCAAGATGAGGCACAACGTGGTTTGATTGTTATGACCATTCCTTCCGATGATAGCAGTGCTCTTGTTGCTCGTGTTTCCATTCCTGCTAGATCACAAAATGATTCTCACCCTCCTACAAACAAAGTTCAGCGTGACCATGGCCCTTGTTCTCACTGCAACATGACTAATCATAGCATTGACACTTGCTACAAGTTACATGGTTATCCTCCTCACTATCGGCTTCATATTCGCAACAACCAACAATAACATTCCAACACCCGTGCTTCTAATTCTTTTGCTTCTACCACTACTACCACCACTCCTCAATTTACTATTGACCAGTATCATCAACTTCTCAATTTACTACAGTCACCATCCTTGGCAAACGTCGCAGGTAAACCCATTTGTTTATCATCAATTTCTACGTTCTCAAAAGCTTGGTGGATAGATACAGGTGCTACCGATCATATGGTTTCCTCACCGACTTTACTATCTCATGTTACACCAGTTACTACATCTCTGTCAATCAAACTTCCTACTGGGCAAAGTGCACCCATTACACATATTGGGTCTTTATCTGTAAATTCAAATATGCACCTGAAAAATGTTCTTTGTGTCCCATCCTTTCGTTTTAATCTCCTTTCAATTAGTAAACTCACTCGTGATCTCAATTGTCTTGTGACATTTTATTCTGATTTTTGCATTTTTCAGGACCGATCAACGAGGATGGTGATTGGGATGGGTAAAGAATCTAGCGGACTCTACCATTTCGTGTCTTCAAGCCCAACTATTTTTGCTTCTTATGCTAGTTTAAATTTCGATTTTTGGCACTGGCATTTGGGTCACCCATCGCCTACTCGTTTAAGACAATTAGGTCATATTGTTTCAGATTTCTCTGTTGATAATAATAATTGCATTTGTGATGTTTGTCCTCTTGCACAACAAACAAGATTGCCTTTTCCAAGGAGTTCTATTTCCACTAGGACTCCTTTTCAATTAATTCACATTGACGTTTGGGGTTGTTATTCTGTTGCATCTCATTCTGGAGCCCTTTTTTTTTTAACCATTGTCGATGATTTTACTCGATGTACATGGGTCTTTCTCATGAAATTCAAATCCGAAAGTGAACAACTTATCAAATATTTTTTCTCCTATGTTCAAACTTAATTTAATTACCAGATACAAAAAATTCAATCTGATAATGGACTTGATTTTTTTTCAAAGGAGATGAAACATTTTCTCAATGAACATGGTGTGTTACATCAACACAATTGTATTTCCACCCCCAACAAAATGGTGTGGTCGAGCAAAAAAACCGTCATATTCTTCAAGTTGCTCGTGCTCTTCGTTTTCAATCGGGTTTACCACTTTCATTTTGGGGTGAATGTGTTTTAATTGCTGCATACCTTATCAATCGCACTCCCACTCCCTTTTTACAGTATTCCACCCCTCATGAAAAATTGTTGAAATCAAAACCAAAGTACACCCACCTTAAAGTTTTTGGATGCTTATGTTATGCAAGTGTATTTAAAACAACACCCATTAATCAAATACAATCGAATGACTTGAAGTCTCAATTTCAATGACGAATAATAACATGCAATTCAACGCCAGTAACATAAAACTAAAAATGGGCAAATCAACTAAAGATCTCTATTTGAAATAAACAGGTTTCACCAGTTAGAAACAACTCTATCAACATATACAGAATCTGTCAAAAATGTAGTAATATCAAAAGCCAACTACCGAAGGGTGGGTGTAAGAAAGAACAAAAAAGTTGGAGAATAAAATCAGCACTATTATTAGACGAGATAGCAGTCGTTCATCTTTAAAACATAACCCCTAATGGTGAAAATCATTTTTTTTTTCATTTGGATTCTACCTTGCAATTATTTTCTCCTAAAGCATTGAGACCAATACTATTATTTTCTCGCTTTGACTTTCAGATGAGCCATACACTAGGTACTTGTCTTACCTAATTACTTTTCATTTTGTTCAGGAAGTAATCTATCATGCGTTAGACTCATAACTGTAATGCCACCCAAAACTTGATAATAAGCAACTTATTTAATTGCTCGTTAACTCTCATAGCTCCATACAAAATGATAACGAATGTGGATGGAGGGAATATATGTGTTAGCTGCCCAGTTGAGACTAATCAAATTGCATGTCAAGTAAAACACCATAAACCATCATAAACCAAGTCCGCCTAAGAATACAGCATAGAGCTATAAAAGACCATTGGATACTGTTCAAAGTTGATGTCAAGTAGAGCATCATAATCAAAGTTTGGTATTAAATGAAAAAATACAGATGTTGCAAATAGATATTAATGAACCATGCTTGCATTTGTACTTGTTCTTGTAAGGCTACCTATGCGTTCAAATGAATATCATAGTATGAGAAATAAGCTTCTAAAATATTAAAATCAAAATACTAATAGGGTCTTTTGGCAATATGCATATATATTGTAATAATAAACTGACCATTACTTTATAATCAGGGGTTCTCTTCTTTATCATCTTCCATCTATATGTCCTGAAACAACAAAAATGGTATGACCCACATGAGATAAACAACCGATAACCAAAAGCCCGTGATCAATTTACAATTTACAAAGAACAAAAGAGAGTTATTTTTGAAGAGGATTCTTCTCTGTGTGAATCTAAAGGGGTTACATATATATAGTCTCAAATGTGAATCATGATAATAATAAAACTTAGGGAAATTCATGTACACCCCCTTTAAATAGGTTTATCTTCAACGACACCCCCCTGTCTTTTCTGAAATTGCACTAACCTCTCCGGTCAGTGTTGGTTGGCTAACGGACATGACGGAAACACATGTTTTACCATTTTACCGATGAATTTTATAAAAATTTACATATTCACCAATTATTTTTCATTAAATTATATATAAACACATATTCCTATTTCTTGTAAGTATGATCATGTTTGTTTTCCATATATATGAGGTATTAGAAAAAGGAATAGAGTAAATAGTACCTAAGGCCCACTTATTGCGGTGTTTGATTGGCATTTTATGTGCACTATTATTTTTTGGGTTGCAATACCTTTGTACAATAATATTTATCTCTTGTACATGACTTTAATGAATACCACCATTCAGGTGATATTATTTACTGGTATAAATCCACCAAAGGTACAAGCAAGAAAAATAACACAAATACCCTCCTCTGTAGGGTTCACATATAAAAAAATTATTTTGAATTTTTTCTTTGTATTATGTTTAAGTGTACGTTGTCACCGATTTTTTTTTTAAAAAAATTATTTTGAATTTTTTCCTTGTATTATGTTTAAGCGTACGATGTCACCAATTTTTTTTTTTTTTAAAAAAAAGAATTTTCTAAAAAAATTATTTTGAATTTTTTTCCTTATATCATGTTTAAGTGTACGGTGTCACCGATTTTTTTTAAAAAAATTTATATTGAATTTTTTCCTTATATTATGTTTAAGCGTACGGTGTCACTAATTCATAGCACTAGATTTTTTATTTTTTATGTAGATTTTTTACATTATTCTTCACCGATTCATGCTAGGACCAGTAGCTGGAGGTCATTGCCACGTTGTTTTTGCACCTAGGTGATTAGGTTGTTGAGGCATGAGAGAGAAAGAAAAGGGGGTGAAACAAGGGTTTCATGGGGAATAAAAAATGTAAAATTGGCATTTAATAAAAATTTGGTATGACATCAGCACTTTTCTAATGGTTAGTAACGGTGGTTATGATAGGGGGGTCTAGATAAAGAAGACATAAAAACTAAAAGAAAGTGCAGTGAAATTTTTAGAAAAGATAAGGAATATAATTGAAGATAGGCCTATTTAGAAGGAGTAGAGATGAAATTTTCCCTAAAAATTAAACATAGAGAAAAGAAGATACAAAGAAGTGAATAGTTACCAAGCAAAGGAGAAGTTACTGAAATGGAATCCACGAAGTTGCAAAGATAGGATGTGTGAAGCATAAGATTTTTCCCATCAATTTTTTATTTAATATTTAATGAGAATTAAGAAGTTTCAGAAATAAAAACCAAAGCAACCAAAAGCCTGACAACTTGATATTTATTATTTGAATTTGTAAGGTCTAACGGTTTTGCAACATTTGTCCATCTGATCAGCTGAAGGCTACAATAACTATTCAGCTGGAGGGGTAAGATAATCTTATCTTTAAACAATACTAGTTTAAGGGTAAATTAGTAAGTCAAAAGTTTTTCATGGAGGTTCACATTTATTATTACAATTATAAATATGGCATATGTACAAATTTGACATTGCACAATTATTTGAGGGTATTTTTGGGAATTAATTTTTTGTTTGGTTTAATAGCTTTTAAGAGTAGCATAAATATAAATATAGATTTAGATTTAGATAGATAGGGTAATTATACATGTTATATTATATTGAATGTGTAAATTACAAATATTTGTCTATAAAATAACAAAATTATTCTTTAGGAGATACATGTGACACACACATGGTAGTTTACTTCTCTTTTTTTAATGGTAGTAACTGCCAAGGACCACATTAAATTAATGTTTGAATTTTGGGGACAAAATTAATGAAATTAAAACTTTCAAGACTAAAGTGCAATGAATGATAAACCTCTGGGGCCATTGATATAATTTACCTTTCAATTTAAGCTGACTTTCGGCAAACTTTTCAAACCGAGCCAGCGGAGTTCGAACCGACGTATGCACCCGGCTCGTACCACCCACCGATAGCTCTCCCTTGCGAATTACCAAATCCCCACAATAAACTGCGCCAGAACCCAAACAACCTCAAAAGCCCTAAGATCTCTTATACACGCCCGGCACACACACATAATAGAGTTCTGAACTCAATTTTCGAATGCTAACTACTTGATTACAGAGAGAGAAGCATATAGGTTAGAGAGAAAGAGAGAGAGAATGGCAGGTGTTGGGAAAGAGAGCAGCAGTGGAGTAGTACCAGATTCAGTGATGGAAGCAGTGAAGAGAACATCGAACAACATAGAAGAACTCAGGACTCCTTTTGTGGAGTTCTTATCTCTCTGTGATGCTGACGTTCTTGCTGAGATGCAGCCTTTGCATCGGGCTCATTCTCTTTTTCTGCTTGCCAAAGTCACTACAACTCTGTTTGCTTGTAAGTACTGGTATGTCCATTAGATTACTGTTGATCTGACCGAGTGTTTCAATTTGAATTTGATTTGAGTGCAATTGGTGGTTTCAGTGAGGTTGAGGTGTAATGGCATAAACCCGGATGATCATCCCGTCAAATCGGAGCTTGTACGTATTCCACACTCTACTCTGTGTGTGTGTGTGTGTGTGTGCGCGCACGCCCTTAGGTTATTTATTTTGTGGGGCTTTATATTTGGTGGTTTTTGTTCATGGGCTTGTCCTTAATTTATCCAGTTTACTGTTTTTTTGGACAGTAGGGGTATTGTCACTGCGTGTATTTGGGTGTTGGATCATACGATGATTCTTTTTGAGATGTGGATTAATGGTTCTTGATTTAAATCATCTGTTTCAGGGGTTTTGATTCGAGGGTCTAGCTTAATTAACAAATTTTGTTATTTATTTTGCAATTTTGATACTTCTGATTAAAGAATTTAATTGATGGGTACTGCCTATTTTTGTGTTATGTGATTTTCTGAGTTGTATGTGCAGGATAGATTAAGCTTGTATGAAGAAAAATTACAACGGTGCATAGATTTGAGTAAAGGTATGTTCCACGGTCCATCACTTTCCTTTTTCTTTTCAAACTAAATAAGCTCTTTGAAAGTATCATTGCCACTTGATAGGATGTAGGCAGTTAAGATGTGAATCAGTTGGTGAGAAAATGTAGTTAACAAAAAGAACAGGGATATGTGATATACTACATTTACACTTGATTTTGGAATACAGTTGTGCCGAAAATATTACATCTTGGAGATATGGATATTAGACAGTCAATGTGCTTAACAGTAAATTATCCCTGTTATTCTTTACATAATTTTTGCATGTCTTTGAAGCACCACTGCGACGTTCAACTACCTTGAATGCCCAGGCAGCAACCCGTTTTATTGAGCATTCTTTGCCTGATCTTACCCCTGGTATGTGGTGAATCACTTGTCCTTGAATTTCTTTTGGCTTTTAATTTTTTGTCCGTTGAACATAGTTGAATTTAACAGAGCAGAAGCAAAGTATGAGGGAAATCAGTAGAGGAGAGGGGGCAAAGTTTAAGTATACAGAGAGAAGTGTTCAAAAGAAGAGGAAACATCAGTCATCTGAGAAGCAATCTGTTCGAACTGCTGCACAGGAATTTCTCGAGAAAGCTGCCCGGGAGCTTCTTGGTGATAATAAAGGTGGTTTCAAGGTACCTTTACGGCCTGAGGATTCTGATGAAGACAACCTGCCTCTGGGCTGATTCTCTGGTAAATTTTAAATTTGTGTTTCTTTTCTTTTTCAGAGTTGTGGTATATTTGCCATTTGATTTTTCTTTATTTTGGGTTTACTGCTTATATTAAGTTTTTTAAAAGACATAGTCCATTCATAGGTAGAGGGTGGATGCAACATGCATTTGTGAAGGATATTACTTTGCCGCGTTCTTCTTTACTTCAATGCAACTTTCTTGTGTTTCTTTCATAGGTCTTTGTCATTCTGTGGTAACAACTTTTGATATTCAATGCATCTTCGGTATACTTTCACAATCATATTTCTATTGAAGTAGGAGTTGACCACTTGGCTACTTCTAATAATAACCATACTTGATTCACACCGGCAGAGACAAAACTACGGCTTGGCTAGGAGGGGCCATGGCCCCCTCAGGTTTTCGAAAATCTTTAGAAATATAGTGGGGGTTGCCAGAGGTAAGAGATTATGGAAAGGAACAACCTGTTAAAGGAACAACTATGAGTCCATTTTGACTAGTGATAGTGTCGGGATTTTTCTGTTGCATGTGTTGATAGGCTGAAGTATGGCAGGTGGGTTCACCCTTTTCTACTACCCCTAATGATCTGAATCTCATAGCTGATGAGATGACTCTTGTGTTTTTTTTTAGCATAGTGATGATTATTTCCTCATAAATCTCGTCAGGCAAGTCATTAAAAAAAATAAGTGTAATAATGGATTATGTCATTTTACCACAAAAATATTTTTTTAGTATTACACCTCACTTTTTGGCCAATTACAAAATGATACATGCACAGTATTATAATTTTATTTTATTTTTCATTTAACCAATCCATAGTTATGAATAATTTAGAACAAAATCTATATCTGAGAATCACTTATCGGTATGATACCGAAAAATAAAATCTCGGTACCATTGATTTCTCCTAAATGAAGAAGTCAATAAAATATACTACATTTTTGAGAGATTTATTCTCTTTAGTTTTCTACGGCTAGTTGAATTTTACAAAAAACGTATTCTCTTTAATTTTTTACAGGGATTTACTTTATCTTTACAAAAATTTTTACATATTATTTGCGAGTTTGATTTAATATTTTTAATTTGTTGTAGATAAATAAATTGTGTAGAAGTTGATTTTAATAAGGTTTATACAGCTAAACTTGACCTATAGAAGATAATTCTTGATGAACCTTACCATATTTGTAAGCTGGCCTCCTCCAGGATAAGATTGTGGTTCTTTCCTTGTACACTGGTATGCTAAAATTGGATAATTGTAGGGTTCAAATGTTGGGTTGGCCATTTTTATGTAACGGAAGACAACACGTGAGGCCTGGATTGCTTTTTAATACATGGTAGTCAGTTTCCCTATATCTACAACCATGCTATCATAATCATCACTGGAAAATTAATGGCCATGCTATTTTATGTATCGTTACTGGTTTCAAATTCATATACTTGGCCTAGTGGAGAGGTGTTTGTTACTAACTATTAACATGGTTGGGGTTTGAGAAGCATGTCATGTTTTCAGGGTGTTTAGACAACAGTAAGCGGTAGAGGAGGATTGGTGGTAAACTCAACACAACACTTGGAAGAAATGTCTAGGCTGGAGTGCTTGCATGCTTGTAGCCCTATATTGGAAACAGGGACCTAGCTCATGGATTATTTTTGTGCCACTGCCAAAGACAAATCCTTTTGCTTATTCATCATGACAATTGCGGGGTAGGCTTCGAGGATTTGAGATCTGAATGGTTGGTGGAGTACCTATCTCGGTGTGTCATCTTTAGTTTGCTGGTTACTCTATTTTTTGGTGCAGGGCAAAGGTCAGTAACTCCACTTTTCTTGGATGAGGTCTATGTGGTAGTGCTTTGCCAGAGTCTTAGGGGCAACAATGAGTTAATTCCAATTGCAAAAGTTGATTTTTTTTTTCTTTTAGGAGGAAACAAAAGATTGCATTATTATCGAAAAAAATCAAAAATTACTAGAAGTAGGTTGGTTAAGAAGCCCAAAAGCTGCAATGAAAAATAGAAATAAATACGTTGGAAACTCATAAATCACATGATGCCTTCCATCCCGCCAAATTACTAAAAAGCAGAATTCCTTAGAGCACGAAGCCCAAAATGATGCTATAAAATTAACACGATCCCTTAGACCATCCAACTCTTCACTTGTACCTTCAAAAGTTCTTGATTTCTTTTTCTTCCAAATAACCCAAAAAATAGCCATAATAGATCAATTCCACAAAACTTGTCATTTTATCATTCCTCCCAAAACCTTTCAATCCTTCGATAAACAGTGAAGTCAATGATGCCAGAAGAACCCAATTTAAGTCTCCCAAAGCAAACAACTTATACCACAAAGACAAAGCAAAAGGTCAATGTAAAAACAGACGATCAATACTATCAATGCTCTCACCATCACCTTTACACATTACATACCACTGAGGAGAGAGACAAGTTTGAAGTCTCATTTTCTAAAGCATATTGTTGGTATTAAACTTTCCACGTGCAGTAGTCCATGCAAATACTTGCACTTTAAAAGGCACCTTAGCCTTTCAAATCATGATCGAGGGCAAATATAAAGGACAAGAGGAATAATCAATAAGAGTCTCAAAAAATGACTTACACGAAAAGACAACCGAAGACTCACATACCCACCTCCTCTTATCATTAGACTCTTGAGAAAACAAAGAATCATTTAGAATAGCAATCAGTGAAATCATATCCTTTGTGCCCTTATCATTGAGATATCTATGAAATCCAAAGTCACAAGAAAAAGGATGATCATAAGACCTAATCGTAGATGCTATTGAAACACCTTATAGCAAGAAAAATGATAAAGAAGTGGAAACAAATACGACAAAGATGATTCTTCCACCCATGTATTCACCCCAAAACTTACTCTTACCCCATTTCCTGCTATAAACTGATAATTTTGAGAAAACTTTGTCAATCCCTGAGATGCTCCGAAAACTTCCTCTTTCAAGCCAATTGCAAAAGTTGATGATTTGACATTAGTTCTTGCTTGTAAAGATTTTCCTTGACACCTCCTACTTGGGTGTTCCCTTGGGCAAGTCCTTCTAGAGCTTCATCCAATGGGGATATTGCAGTAGAGAAGCTCTGAAGGAGGTTAGCAGATTGTAAGGTTTGCGACTGCCTTTGCTTTGTCCAAGCTTTGCTCTATGCACTCGTGGAAGTTGGAGCTTGTTTGAGGTTTCTGAATGTCAGTTAAATGATCTTGTCTTGTATTGGTGCTGAAAATAGAATAACCTTGAATCAACACTACCTAGCACTTCTTTAGCTCTCATCTTGGCATTATATGAGGGTAAACATTCAATACAAAATGCAAAGAGTTGGTGAAACAAAATTAAGCTGAAATTATTATTCAAACTTCCAGAACTGTGTGGGTATATATACATTAGAATGCGATATTATGAGATACGGATTTCAGACGTATTAGCTAATAATGACTCTGCCATGAGATATGTATTATTGGTTTTGTAATGGTGGTATATGATTCCTTTGTAGTATTCCAAGCTGTAGCCACCCAGATTTATTTAGTCCAAGGAGTAGTTCAATGGATATAAGTTTTTGTTGGTTTTGATTTCATTGCATGGAAGGATGGGTTATCAAGTTTTAACTTGACAACTTTTGGGAAGTAATAAATGCTGATGCACTTGTGTGGAGGCACTTTAAAGAGACTGTCAATATTAGAGGCAAATCATTCATTCGAAATTTCTGGTTGAATGCATGGTGTTACTGTGTTAATGAAGAAGAGTCCGATAAGTCTGCAAATCTCCCACGTAAGTCAGTTGTGACATTGAAAGCATCAGCATTACAGCTTGGTTATAATTTTTTTTTGTTCGTTGCAGATGTTATTCAGTATGTGTAATATCGATAGTAGTTATTAATCAAGATATGAAAAGCCATTGCGTTGGTTTTATCTGTTTGCATGCACTAGCTATGCAATGGAGCTAAGTGGCTTGTAAAAAATTTGGGTTCATTCACCATTTGAATGAGTTAAGCTCATGCATAAGCTTATAGCTTGTTTGCAAGCCAAACCTATATTACTTTGAGTTAGCTTCGTTAGGCTTGTGTACTATTAATGAAGGTGTCATTCAGTCTTAGTTCAAAGTCTCTTGCTAAGCTGACCCCAATGAGATGGTATTGAGGATCACAAAGACATTATGTTAGTAGCAATGGATCATGTCTGTTATTTTTGGTCCTGTGGAAGCTAAATTCACCAAGAAATGGTATACCCCTTGCACATTCATTAACTTAAATAAGAAGGGAAGACATAAGCACCGTAATAGTAAATGTTACTTCTTCGTGGTTTAGCATTGTGCTACAATAGTATTATAGTAGTTAAGAAGGTTACTGCTACAGTAATTCAGCAAGGATACCAATATTTAAATATTTTCTCCTGCATCTAGATTTGGCGTCAGGTAGGCTGAAAGAATGCATGTAGATTTGGTGTCAGGGTAGAAACAATATGAGCAAGGCAGCGAAGCTTTGATCTAGGGGAGGAAAAAGCCCACAATTTTTTTTTTTTTTTTGTAATATAAGGAAAATAACTCGAACAAAATCAAACTCTTTATCTAGTCAACAATTTAACTAATAGAATAATTTGAAAAGATCTAACAAAGAAAAATATAGAAGGGAAAATCCCGACCTGAGAAAGTGTCAAAGGCGAAGGATAAGATGACGGATTAGTAGTGAAGCTGAAAATGTATAATGATCTGAATCATATGACCATATGAATCCCCAAACCTGCTTTATGTACCAAGTTAATATGAGAAATATGAGCATCTTGATAACTGACACCAGTACTTAGGTTGGCCTAGGCCAGGACGCACACCCTACTAGAATTCCCTCCTTGAACCAAGCACCTTTGGAAAAAGATCTCAGTTTGCATAAGGCTTAGGCCAGTTATTTGTCTGGGCTGATTGATTTGCCTACAGGTAAGGGAGGTAATTTTTGAGTTAAGTTTAAAATTTAGATAATAGCACCACTGTTGTTTGGTGTATGGATGGTTATAAGACGGGTTATTGTGGTACTACTATATTATTTGGATGGGTTATAACGACCTCAACCTATGCACCCTTAGATCTCTTGCTATATTATTTACTCCAAGGTTCTTCTGAAAGGAATTCTTTGGGTGTGTGACATGAGATTCGCACTTCTTTTTCCTTGTTTCACCCTGTAATATTTTCTCATCTTTGTTTATTTTGGACAAATTTTTTTTTCGATTTTATTTAGTATCTTCACTATTTTTCCTTCTGTTAAGTAGAGTGCTATGTGGGTTTTTTTTTTATTTTTAATTTTTAATTTTTGGTGTGGAAAGAATGAGACTCTTTAGCCTTCTGAACCTTTCTTTACATGATCAAACTTCTACTAATGAAATCTTTTAGAATGACTGTTTTAATGATCTTAAGTGGCTTGTAGCTAAATTGTATGACACATTTAGGTCATAGCACTAAATATCCATCAAGCCATGAGGCCTGTTATGAGGTCCATATATTTAATTGAGATTATGAATATTTGCTGCATTCTATATTGTGTTCAGACACAGTGTTTTATCTGCTTAGTAGGAGTGAACATCACATGGATTTCGTTGAATTTGAATCCTGTCTGAAGGATGGGCACTGATTATGAATAGATTGTCCCTTCTTAAAATCCTCTTGCTCTTTCTAAATCTATTATTAATTTTTCTCAATTTTTCTCGAATTAGTTTAGGTTTTTGTCTTATAAAAGACCTTGATCTAGTTTGATACCTGTTCATCAAAAGTGCTCGAAGAAGTGGATTGGGTACAGACATAATATTTAACATTAGTTTGACATAGTAGCTGCATTTAGATTTGAACCCATGAATTCACAGTTGTAGCCTTACACTTATAGCACTTAAACGACTGTACTTTATAATGGGCCGGCCTTAAGGTTTGTCTTATATGTAAGTGGAAAAAAAATATTAGCAACACTGTCATGTCAGAAGAAAAGCATGCGATTAATGACCAAGCTACACTTGTTTAAGTTAGTCTTGCATTACTGTGGAATACTAACGTGGAGCTTCCTTCCCTAAGAAATTTTCAACGCTGCGAATGTTAGTTAGGAAACAATTGGATGGCCACATATGACAGTTATCTAAATCTGGAAGTTCAGATCGTTGGTTACAGAAAGGGGCATTACCCTAAGAAATTTGCAGAACACAAGTTGTGTTTTGCATGATAGATGCAGCCAAATTAGGGTGGTGCAAACTTGGGTCGAGCATGGAGGGGAAAGAAAAAGGAGAAAGAAACAAAACAAACCTTCATACTCTATTCTTCCTTTCATTTCCTTCATTGTGGTTTGGGACACGAGTTTCTGTGAATGAAAAGTACTAAAATATATGGACATGGGAAATGATCTTTTCCATTTTTCATTTGCCTTACAGTTTTGAGTTAGTAATCGTAGATTATGACCACCTGTGCTTAAAATTTACTATGTCTTTTTCTTACAGTTTTCTTTTTCAATTCTCTTGCAGGATCACATGAAGCTGATATGCCTGTGTTCCTGATGAATTTTGATGCATGGGTTATTTATCCTATGGGCCTGTGCCTATGCCTGTGTT